AAAAGATCTTTATAACCCCGTGCGTACACCTCCGGTCAAAATTATAGCCCTCGGCTTACACACCTGGTCACATAACCTTCGAATTATATATCCGGTCATTTAACCCTCGGATTACTGATCCGGTAATATTACCATCGGATTACGCATACAGTTAATACACCACAGGCTAATATATTCGGTCATATTTAACGCTCATCTTACATCTCCGGTCATTTACCCTTGGATTATACATCTTGATAGATATATAGATATTTATTCATGTTAAACACACACATATACTTAATACAAACACTTATAACACAATTGTAATAAAATATTTCGGAATATAACAATTGTTATAAAATATTTCGGAAGTTTGTCAAACATAAATATCACAGGAGGCTCATTTAAAAATAATAAATAATGATAACAAAGAACAAAAATCTGAAAAAAAATACAATGTAGACAATACTAAATTTATCTTTCTTTCCTATGACCAGATTTCAATTTACGAAATGATAATAATGTGACGACGTAGGTGGAAGCATGTATAAAGTAGTGTGCAATAATCTCGGGTTGCCTATGAAAGGCTTATTTCCCATGGGGTCCTTGGATATATACTGTCTAGAATATACAATACAAAAAACGAAGAAGAAAAAAACACTTGAAAACAAACTTTTGAAACTGGAAGATGTCATATAGTATTATATTAAACGTTAATATTTTCTTTTACTTTACTAACTGGAAAACAATAAAAAAGAAGATCAATATCAAGTCATTCAAGTGAATTTAATAATGAATTCCTAACTGTTCTAGTAAATGGGCCTTTACTGAGCTTTTGTAATACCCGATCTTATTATTTTTAATGCATGTAGGCAAGGAATTCCAATCATTAATTGCTTTTGAAAAAAAAAGTTACATTATATGACATCATGTCATATGACCATTGGATTACAAATCCGGAAATATATTCCTCCGCTTACACCTTAGGTTATATAACCTCAACAAAAATATACCTCCAGTCATATAACCCTCGCAGATGATTTACGCAAACCATAGGTTTACGTTCAACACAGGTTCCATTTACCGGGTTGTTGTTGTTCTGCTACTGACTGTTTATTACATTGTTACAAAAATGTGCCGGTAGTGTCGTATAACGGAGAAAGAACTCACGGATGTTACATACTTTTAATATACAAATACAAACACACAAGTGAACGAGTGGAATACCAAAGTCGAACTCGTCCACTCTGACATTTTGAGAATAGTATATATAATATCAACCTGTCCTAAGGACATTTTACAATGTATATAAACACACACGTTTTAGAGTTACATATATTAATCATTCTGACATAAGATCAGTTCGCATGTATAATGCACTACAATACTCATAAATCATGTCATGTTCCATAGTGCACATTACTAAATAAAAACCTTAATATATGTATATACATGTTGACTTGTCATTCTTTTTTAATATAGCGTGTATGACTCATTAGCCTGTGCAACCAGCTATACGACAGTAGCACGTGTTAAACATGTGTTTATTGTTCTCAATATTTGTGTTAAATAGTGATTTTTTATAACTTATTCAAACTTTAGTTTTAAGAGATTTCTAAAAAACAATACACAAAATTGGAAAACCTCAAACTCAAAATAGGGCAAGGGGGATTACTATTGTCCAGATACACCGCAAGTTATTTCCGTTAATTCAGTCCGTTGAACAACAAAAACAACAACAAGGTAAATGGAACCTGTGTTGAACGTCAACATCTGGTTTACGTGAGGAATCTGTATCACTAGGCCGAAATTGATAACGGTTAATAGTTAAATAATGTTTGCATGTTTACTTAATTTCTTTTAGCTCGGACATTTACGTGACAAATGATATTATCGGTAAATTGCTGTTGTCTAAAGTGGTTGGGGTAAAACTGTTGTTTTCTTACTTGTGTTTGTTTATATATAGGTATGGATTTTTTTTTAATCGGACTTAAGAACGAGTATTCATCGAATTTCAAGCTCCTGTGGTTTGTTCCTGGGAATTTTGTTGGAAAAACCAACATTTGCCGAGTTCCAGATTACATTTGAGCCGCGTCACGACAAAACCAACATAATGGGTTTGCGACCAGCATTGATCCAGACCAGCCTGCGCATCCGCGCAGTCTGATCAGGATCCATGCTGTTTGCTTACAAACTCTATAACAAGTAGAGAAACTGATAGCGAACAGCAAGGATCCTAATCAGACTGCACAGAAACGCAGGCTGGTCTGGATTCATGCAGGTCGCAAACCCATTATGTTGGTTTTGTCATGACACGGCTCATTTATCCTGGAGATGTTAATACACCAATAATTGCAAAGGTAAATACGTATAAAAGAAAAATCGAAAATATTACCGCCACGCTGTATCTCTTTTTGTATTGTCGCTGAAACTCGTCTCCGGCTGTGCAGATACCGTACGGCTGACCAAGTCTCGATATACGTACCTACAAAACAAAGATATTTATGTGGGGTGTCTGCATCTTCTACGGCTGATAAACAGACATTTTCTACTCAGTCTCCCTTTCAAAGTATATATATTACGACCATAGATTTGAAAGTAAAATTCATCCAAATTTAATGGACAAACAACAAGCAAAATGAGGAAGAAATATATTTCTTTTGTAATTCTGTTGCATATTTTCATGCAAAATGTCTTCTTTTGTTTATAAATACCATTTTCAGTCCAAGGTTTGTCTCAGTTCCTGGACTTAAAGTTATGCCTTCGTCATATGGTAAGGGGTATGTTCCGGGTTCATGCAATACTAAACGTGCACCATACCCTGTTGAAAGTTGTTCTACATATTCATCCGTCTCCAAGTTTAAAGTAATTGTGATCCCTGTAAAACAATATTACACAGTTTTATATATAACAATATCACACAGCTTTATATTTAACAATATAACACAGTTTTATATATAACAATATAACACAGTTTTATAATTGTATAACAATATGACACAGTTTTGATATTTAAGAATATAAAACAGTTTTATATATAACAATATAACACAGTTCAAAAATTAACAATATAGCATAACTTTATAATTTTATAACAATATAACACAGCTTTTTATATTTAACAATATAAAACAGGTTTATTTGTAACGTGAATACACTTGTTACTATATATAGTAACAAAATCGCCTATGATTTCAACTGATTATGAGTGTCACGTGACCTATTATGAGTTTGTGGCCCGGGGCCGAGAACTAGTTATCAGCCCGCCGAACATGTACACGTGCACAAACTGAAACAATGACGTCATAATACGTCATCAAACAGTTAACTGTAAAAGTGAAAGTAGGTTTTAGGCACGAATCGCTTGATTTTATTATGAGAGCTTAAGCGTATTTCGAGTTTTATTACTATTGAAATTAAAAGAAACAAGAGCCGGTTGAACCGGGTGATGCTCCCCGAATAGGTTTTGGACACAGGAAGGTATACCTCTTGTAGTGTCAGAGTTATGTCACAGACAAAGTTCAAAGTGTAAAAACAACCCAAATGTTGTGCACGACAGTTTGTCTCAATATGGTGATCATTTCTGTGAAATAGTTGTAAAATCCGACTTCAAATAACGAAGTTATGGGCCGGACACGATTTTGCTGCAAGGTCATGCTTTGACCTTGACTTTCAACGTAGCGACCCAAATGTTGCTCGCGACACGTCGTCTTAATATGGTGATCATTTCTGTGAAAAAGTTTTAGAATCGACTTCAAATAACGAAGTTATGGGCCAGACAAGCTTTTGCTGCAAGGTCATGCTGTGACCTTGACCTTCAAGGTAGCGACCAAAATGTTACGCGCGACACGTCGTCTTAATATGGTGATCATTTCTGTGAAATAGTTTTAAAATCCGACTTCAAATAATGAAGTTATGGACCGGACACGATTTTGTTGCAAGGTCATGCTGTGACCTTGACCTTCAAGGTAGCGACCCAAATAATGCGCGCGACACGTCGTCTCAATATGGTGATCATTTCAGTGAAATAGTTTTTAAATCCGACTTCAAATAACAAAGTTATGGGCCGGACACGAATTCGGGACGTACGTACGTACGTACGGACGGACTGACAGACGGACGGACAACCCGAAAGTTTTCGGGGAGCATAATAATACGACAAATTCTTTCCGAAAAAAATGAAAATAGAACTTGCTTCTAGATCCTACAGTAGTGTACTTTTAACACACTTTGTAGAAGTTATTGAACTGTAGAGTTAAGTCTACAGTAGAATTGTAGACAGGAATTTGAACGAAAGAAATTTCAAAGTATTTTTTAATAGAAAAATGCTACAATTAAATCTACCAAGTGTATTAAAGACATTAATTTGCCAGAAGGTGATAATCGACCCTGAAATGAATAATGCCCTCGGGCTGAAGCCCTCGGGGGCTATTGTTCATTTTGCGGGCCGATTATCACCTTCCAGCCCAACTCTGCCGTGTATTAATCTCTTAATATAACACAGTTTTAAAAATAGCAATATAAAAAAACTTTATATATAACAATATAACACAGCTTTTTATATATAACAATATTAAACAGATTTACATATAACAATATAATACAGCTTTACAATAACAATATGACTCACCTTTACATATAACACACCTTTACATATTACAATATAACACACCTTTACATATAACAATATAACAAATCTTTACATATAACAATATAACACATCTTTACATATAACAATATAACACATCTTTACATATAGCAATATGACACATCAATATATATTACAATATTACATAGCTTTATAAATAACAATATTACACAGCTTTATATATAACAATATAATACAACTTTATATCTAATAATACAAACAGCTTTTATATATAACAATAAAACACGCCTTCATATATAACAATATAACACTGTTTTTAAAAATAACAATATGACACAGCATTATATATAACAATATAACACAGCGTTATATATAACATTCTAACACGACCCGTATTTTTCCCTATTAAACATAGAAGAACAGAAAGTGTGTGTTATTATGCAACAGATGCACAGTTTGACGTTCTATATTTAGACATGTGACGTAATCATTATTCACGTGACGTAACCACTAAAAATCCGACGCGCTGAAAATAAGTTCGGACTCAAATTAGGCGCAATTTTGCTTAACTATCAAGTACAGCAACATTTATTTGTTATTGTCATGTTAGAATCGAAATAATATATCCAAATCAGTGATTTTATCGCTTGATAACATCACTGTTTGTCGTTTGGATGCGCATCATTATATCACTCGGGCTACGCCCTCGTGATATAATTCCTCGCATCCGAACTCCAAACAGTGATGTTATTGAGCGATAAAATCACTGTTTGGGATATATTATTTCTTAAATATAACACAGCTGTATATATATATATATATAACAATATAACACCACTTTATATGCAAAATTGTAATCTTTAAACATAAAATACGTTATTTTATATTTCAACACGACCCGGATTTTTCCCTATTGAACATAGAAGAACCGAAAGTGTGTGTTATTTAAGAAACAATATATCCCAAACAGTGATTAAATCGCTCAATAACATCACTGTTTGGATTTCGGATGCGAGGAATTATATCAGGAGGGCATAGCCCGAGTGATAATAATGATTCGCATCCGAACGACAAACAGTGATGTTATCAAGCGATCAAATGACCGACTTGTAAATATCATTTCGATTCTAACATGACATCAACAAATAAATGTTGCCGTACCTGATATTAAGCTAAATTGCGCCTGATTTGTTTCCATACTTATTTTCAAGCGCCTCATTTTAGTGGTTATGTCAGATCTATAATGATAATGCCACAAGTCTAAATATAGAACGTCAACAGCGATTTTGTTGCATAATAACACATACTTTCGGTTCTTCTACATGTTTGAAAATGTGGGTCGTGTTAAAATATGCAATAAAATCACGGTTGACGTTCTATATTTAGTCATGGACGTAATGATTATACATGTGACATAACCAACGCGCGCAATTCAGCACGGCAGCCTTCGTTGTTGATGTCGTGTTAGAATCGAAAAAATATATCCAAATCGGTGACTTTATCGCTTGTTTAAATCAATGTTTGTCGTTTGGATGCGCATCATTATGTCACTCAGGCTAGCGAGATATAATATCATTAAATTTTTGATTACCTACCGGCTCTTTTATAAGTAGCGGTCTAGTAAATAACCTACCATTGGCTGGGCCACTTTTCAAGGATATAAATTGTCTAGAGGACAAAGTGAAGCAGTTTCCATATATCGGGGATGTGAAGTGCTGTAGTCTCCTTAAAAAGATGATGAATTATAATTGTGAAAAAAGGCAGTTTGTTTTTGTATTTTCTTAATTATTTATCAATAATGTTGACTCTAGGACAGGGACGAATTTAGGGCAGTCGACGATCGATAATCAATTTCTACCATAAGAAACGGTCACGCATACATAGAGGATATTTGTTTGTTTGTGTGTAAGATGAAATTTTATTTCATCGAGTGAGCTTTAAAAACAGTATTATTATAATATTATTATACAAAACAGTTCTTTAAAGTTCATGAGATGAAATAAAATTACATCTTACACAACAAATAAACAAATTCTCTTTTTATTTTATGCTTAAAAACAAGTTTAAATGAAATTTCCTTAAAATTAACTTTAATATTAAAATCTGTTTTCCCCATCGGTAGCCTCATTTAGTCGAATTTAATATAAAATACAAGAAGTATTGGACTGAAAAATAAGTTCGACAATCACGTTAAATGGCGATGATATTATTCATTTTATTCAACAATATGAATGATCGCTTGTTTTAATAATAAAAATAAACAATTCTAGTTGGAGAAAAAGTCAAACCATCTATCCTTATTTCTGTTATTGACGGCGAATTAGACCTTGCTCTGTGAAATGTAAGCGGCCGCAAGTTTTAAAAGTTGTGTATTTCACGGGAGGAAAATAATTGTGTTTAATTCAGAGGGATATCATTTGGATTTGTTAGTCATACATCTTTTTAGAAGAAATAAACTTATTTGAGGATTGTTACAGACAATAAATAAGTGTTGAAAGATGTATAAACATTCAAAATAAAACGGCTAGGAAATGGAATTTTTGAAATGCTGCCCTACGAACGCTTGGTGGTTTACTTATTCCTCGGGCTGATGCCTGTCATTGCTTTTAAAGTTATTAGGCAGTTATTGCTCGTAGGATACTGAAATATGCCCAAATGTCATCAAGAGCAGTTTTGCATGTGGAAGGAATTGTATTTTTTCTAACTGTTAAAATGAAACAAAAACTTAGAGACGATATTTGGTGATTGGAAATTTGAATGAATTGAAGTAAGTTTTTTTTCTTCTTTTGATTATCTTTGAAATTTCAGTTATTAATCAACTTCAGGTTTTCTTTTGTCTAAACAGACCTAACAATGTCAGAATTGTCAACAATAATAAAATTGAGGTACGACGTGGGGAAAACCTTTAAATTATATTTTGATAGCTTTCACTGTGAAATTATAAAATATAATTTTCACAGATAAATCAGTAATCCATTGAAAAGCATAAAATAAAAAGCGCTAGTTTTAGCGATGTCGATGATATGGCAACACTTCAAATAAATCTGACAGCGACTATACCTGGGACTGTTTGGGCGAGAAGATGTTTGCTAAATGATTTACATAAGTATTAAACAACAGGTAATATTTCGAAATTAATAAGGATTACAAATCCTAATGGAAATTCTAAATTAAGAATCATTTGGTTTGCTTCAGATGGTTTTTGTTATAACGTCATCGTTGTCCACGGGTAATATGCTCGTTAAGTGAGAGGTCTACCCAGTCAAGGCAACTACTAAGAAACTCTGGTCATGTTAAATTCCGTATGTATCAAACATAAACTGTTATAGAAAAAAGTCTAAACGCAGTCGCTGCAACTCGGTGCCCTGCAAGATGATTTATAGTAAAACTTAATAAACTTGTACAGGAAAGTACATACAGAAATACAGTACGGTTTAGATTGCAAAGATCAGAAAAAAACAGAGCTTGCAGCCCTTTGATTGTTTTTGTAGTTGTTGTTAACTTAAACCACCAAGAAGGTTTCTTTTTCAAATACAAAGTTTAACTATCTAGAGGGTCCCTTAAAAATGCATAACATTAACCCACTAGAGGGTTTCACTATTAATTTTTGAACAATAACCACCTCGAGGGTTTCACAATCAAATACAAAACGTTAACCACATAAAAGGTTTCACTATCAAATACAATACGTATACCAACTAGAGGGTTTATCTATCAAATACAAAACGTTAACCACCCAAAAGTTTTCACTATAAAAAACAATAAGTATACCAAGTAGAGGACCTCACTTTCGAATACAAATTGTTAACCACCTACAGAGTTTAACTATCAAAAAAAAAAAAACGTTAACCACTTAGAGGGTTTAACTATCAAAATCAAAACGTTAACGACCTAGAGGCTTTAACTATCAAAAACAAAACGTTAACCACCTGGATGGTTTCACTATCAAAATCAAAACGTTAACCACAAACAGGGTTTTACTATCAAAAGCAAAACGTTAACCACCTACAGAGTAAATTATCAGAAACAAAACGTTAACCACCTAGACGGTTTTACTTTCAAATACAGAACGTAACCACCTAGAGAGTCAAATTATCAAAATCAAAAAGTTACCATCTAAAGTTCACTTTCAAATACAAAACGTTAAACAGCTAGAGGGTTGTACCATCAAATACAAAACGTAAACCGTTGTTGATAATTATTATTAATTATCTTTAATAATTATAAGAAGAAGACTAATAATAATTATGATGATGCTGATAATAATGATGATGATAATGATGATGATGATGATGATCATGATGATGAATAATAATTATAATGATGATGATGATGATCATCATCATCATCATCATCATCATCATCATCATGATCATCATGATAGTAGATGTTATGATAATTTTGATAATAATATATGTAATACTAACAGTAATGATAATGATTGTTACTTTAGAAATTACTCGTCATATAATGCTATGTTTTAAGATAAAAATAATATTATTAAACTTACGATACATTCACTTCAGTCCCCGCATAATCTACCGAAAAAATGAACTCTTTTAGTTGATGACCCGCTTTTGTCCGCAATTCCCTTGAAAAATGATTCAAAACGCATTTTAGAAGCAAATATTTTTTGCACATTACTGTTGTAAATGAAAAGATGTAGCGATAATTTCAACACACTTTGAGTTGCTTGAGATTTTGTCTTTAACAAAGGCCAAATGTATCTGGCAAGTCCCGCAAGTTCCTTATAATACATGTATTTTTGAATATTTTACGACCTTTCGGACACAAACATATTCTCATTTATGATAGTGTTTAAAAATAATTCCCTTGTAAAATCTTATTGCACAAACCAATTTATGAAACCTTTTTGAAACGCGTATAGTGTTATGACGAAATGTTTCTCGTCCCAACATCACTATAGTATTAAACTGCGAGTAAGAATTCAAATGCCAATAAAAATTCTGAAAAAAAAAATAAATGTATAGTACATTTCTGCGATAGGAAATTACAATATGCTTATATAAACAACTTGTTCCGACCGTTACAAGTTCACCGTTATAATTATAGATATATATTAAATACATGGAATAAATGAAGATCAGATTTGTTTACATTTCTGAATGTTTCTTTGAATAAAGAAAATATTGTTTTGTGAAATAAAATGGAATTGTGTCAATAAAACCATACAATACGAAATTTATTTATCTAAGTCGGTAAGGAAGAAATAATAACAAACATAAGATATGTGTAACCCTTGACTAATATCATACCGACAAAGACAAATTAAAATAAATGATAATTCTTGCAAACAAAGAATCATTCGAACAAATAGTATTCTTGCTGACAAAAAAAATAAAAGATATTTTTTGCCGACAAAGACAAATGAGAATTAGTAATTATTCTTGCTGACATAAACAAATCAATTTAGTACAAATGAAAAGCCTTAGAATAGACAATGATCGTAGCTGACAAAGAAATAAACATGAAAAAAAGAGGAAAAAATCGTAACAAATAGAATATGCACTTTGAACACTCACAAATCTAAACCCCTATGGATAACTTTGAACTTATTGACCCTCTTTGTCCATTCACCAACGTTACCACTGAGCTGTTGATCTAAATACCTGTCAGTATTGACGGAGCTGTCCCAGTCATTCTGGTCATCAAAATAATCATAATTATAATCACCATCCGGCAATGAAGTGGTAGGTTCCGTCGAATTTGCTTGATGCTGTTTTTGAAAAAATGGCAATGAATTAAGCTCTTTGCTTGCTAAGAATGTTCACAATGTGTCAAGTACAAAGATCCTCTACAGTCACTATTATTTTAAAGGTTTCGTAAAATTTGGAAAAAAACAATAAGCAGACGACATTTTACAAGACAACGGTTTCCAAACATGAAAAGCGTACTTTGTTTTCATTGAACCTTAGTCTTGTTTACAGTCTGTAAAAAGTAGACATTATTGTTTTTAAAAGCTATGCTTATTAAAAAAAGAAATAACCACGAAGGCTCTTCGCTAATAGGGAATTGTTGGTCTTTGATCACAGTCAAACCTGTAAACGATGGCCACATAAAGGAGAGACAAAACATGGCCTTAACCGACAAGTGGTCTCTATTTGGTGGTTACACAATAAACGGTTGTTGAAAAATGGTCTTAATTCACAGGGTGATCTTTATTCAGAAGTGGTCTGTAACATAGGGTTTGATTGTACATGTACTTGTATTATTAAGCTATTGTCCGAAAAGGATATATCTGCACAACACTTGAATTATAATATTGCTAAATTAAAGTAAGGTTGTGTGAATTTTACAACAAAAACACGAAACGACTGAAACAATAACAACCACAAAGAAAAGAGGGAAGAAAAAAGAAACAATATATTTTATGACAATTAAACGAGTATTGTATATATATTTTTATTTCAACAATATAAGATCCCATTTCATGATGTTGTTTATTTATAAATAATGATATATATTACCGTGTTTTCATTCAGTATGAAGTTCAAACTATCTATTTGAATCAGTTCAGAGTATTTCACTGGGTTCATGTTACACAAAGAAATGGCGGGAAATTTTATGGCACTTGAATCCAATTTTACAACAGTTTGTATCGGATAGGAGTAATAATTGCTGAAAAAGAGCATCAAAAATTACAACATGTATTAATGGAAATTAATTATCTTATCAGAACCTGTAACATTTTTTTTTCTATTTTGAAGTTTAAATTTATCTGTTTTTTTATAAAAGTATGTTCATTTCTCTCTCTATTTTTAAAATAAACATGTATATCTAAACTTGTAAATTGTGTAAAAAAGCAAACATATGAAATATGAATGAATAGGTAATCTGACAAACTTTTGTGTTTAACATTGTGATGCACCCTCTTACTTATACAATCCCAGCAGCTGATATCCAAGGAGCGAGCACGTGGCTATGAAAAGTAAGGACCATAACACTTTTACTGTAGTCTGCCGTGAGGCGACAATTCTCGGAATTCCGTGAAGAGAACTCGAGTCTGCTAAATCCTGGCCGAAAACAAAAAATAAAAATATAATTTAGGCATCATTATCATTTTTAAATTTGTAATTTTTAAATGGAAGGTCAGTGGTGGTAATCTCACATTGATGATGTAAAGTGATCTTGTAATGTTGCATTATTGTTATCAGTAGGGCCTAACTATCGATTATATACATACATGTGAACTTTTTTGTAATGTTCAAGAGGGAGAATCTACTTCAAAAAGAGGGAGAATTTTTATTGACAATAGACATAGTAGAAATTTTGAAATTAAAAAGAGGGAGATTTCTTTATTTTTTAAACCATCCCTTATTCTAAGAAAAATTGTTAAATTTGACAGGAGAAAGAGGGTGTCTCCCGCTCAAATTGGGAGAGTTCACATGCATGTATATACTTTTATTACATGCTTTTGGGTGGTTTATAGAAATATATATCAATGCATTATTTAGAGGATATTTGTTTAGCTGTATATTTCACAGAAATTCACTGTATTGATGTCTAAGCTCCTTATATTGTTTCAGTAAAAATACCAGCGTGCACAGTACTGGAAACCAACTTAATAACGTGACGTCCTAAATGACATCACGTTGTATTATTATTTGGTGCGCTTTTCATTAAGTATCATGTTATTAAAAATAACTACCTTTTAAACGTTTCATTGAATATAATAAAAAGACAATTTGTTTTAGTTTAGTGTAAGATAGAAATTTGTTATTTCACCTCGTGAACACCAAAAGTTCATTGTCAATCGTGGCTGCGCCACTCGTGAAATATACCTTTTTGTTATCACTCGGTGAAATATGTTCCGATTTTACACTGAACTAAACAAATATCCCCTATATAAGTATACTACTAGTATAAAGTCTCTTATAATTCTATTGTAGAATGGTCTTATGTACATTTTTATCAATATTAATATGTTGTTATGTATATATGTGTGTATATGAAAGACACTGAAATATACTTATTTGATAATGTTAAGAGATATAATTTATCATAAACTGGTAAAATATATCATTAAATTGATTTAGTGACGAATTCCAGAAAGTTTAAGTACTACAATTACCAACGTATATTAAGTACAATGTAAACGTTATTTCCAGCTTTTAACAATGGGTGTCAAGGTCTTGATGGTCCTCATGTCCCTCTACAACCATGCACTGTTCTTTAATTATTCAATATATGTACTTATAAAACTATTATAGGAAATCAGAAATTATCGATTCATGTTTTAAGGGTTTGAAATATACAAAATTAACATAATTCTACATAAGGGATTATAAATTAAAACCCAATATGGCCTCATTTTTAATGAGAGATATAACAATACTTAATAACCTTGTGGTATTGTACACACTTGTGTTTACAGGCGGATACTTCAAAGATAATAGAAATACCATTTTGAAAAATGATTAAGGTAGTTGACCTCTCCCCACTTGGGGTTTGAAACCTGCAAGGGATGTTTATATGTGAGGAAGCTATGTACAGCTACGTAACGTAGGTTGTTCTACTATGGTGCTCCTTTGTGTCTGATTTATTTACGGCAGGGCACCTGGGGTCTTCCTGGACCAATAAAACTGGAAAGTTTTCGTGTGACCTTCACAGTGTTGGTGCAACGAAAAATCCAGCGAAATTATTAGAGATCGTAAACGTTTTGAGCTCACCTGTGGACAATATCCTCAAGGTGAGCTTTTCTGATGGTCCATTGTCCGTCGTCCATCGATCGTCCGTGCGTCCGTGCGTCAACAATTTCTTTAAATATATCAGCTCCTAAATCACTTGGCCAAATTTGTTGAAACTTTGCAGGGATTTTCCTTGCATGAAGCCCTACCAAAGTTATGAAAATAAATAAATTCCTTGAAGACATCTGGTTTTCATGGCAACCAAAATATTTTATAAAAAAAAAACTTTTAAAAAGCTTCTTAATATTAAAAATCACAAAGTGTAGAGCCTTGATTTTTGGTTTGTAACATGATCTAGTGGTCCTCTATAAATATTATTTAAATTATGCCTCTAGGGTCAAAATTCAATTGATTACTCATTTAAAGTAACAAAATTAAAGACTCTTCAAAGACAATGAATGGTATCTTTCAGTCAAAGCCAAAACCTTGCAAAAACTCTGGAGACCAATAAGTTTGCTTAACGTGGATCATAAACTTGCAACAGAATAACTGGCAACACAGAGAGCTTTCTCTTATGTGATAAATCATTTACATTGACAGAAAAACATATGCCCTATTTCAGCATATGTAAACTCGGCGAATGATAAGATGAATGATATGAAGCAAAGTTTCATTTTCTATGAGAAAACAAGACAGAGAAAAAACAACATTAAACAGAATAAAAACACATTGAAAGTGATAGACATTTGTTTCTAAATGCAATAAAAGCAAATTGGGTTAAAAAGGTACATTTTACATTGCATATTTGCCATATTATATGCTTGTAAACAATTCACCTCAGTTATAAACTAAAATAAAACGCCCACAATTTATATGAAAGAACACAATACACTTCTCAAAAGACTTTTTAAGTCAAACTTTCAAAAAACAATAAATAAACTTTTATATAATATCCAACTTTAAAGTGGTGAAAATCTCAAAAACAAAATACAAATGAAGAGAAATGAGCAAAAGAACAATATACAGAATTTTTGTTCGAATAGCATATCGAGAGCTCAGCGCAAGACTATTCTAACTCAATATTTTTCAGAAAATGGTTTTTTGACATTTTCTTGTATAAATTCCTTCAATGCATGTTCTGTTAAAAAGACATAATGACTTTCCCACTTATTTTTAAGTTTTACATATTTAATATCTGGTGATATAATATATTCAGTAAAAAACTATTCTAAGTCAAGTTAAAACAGTTTGACAATCACTTTTAAGTTAAAAACTTGATATACCTTTGCGCAAGACTATGCTAACTTCAAGTTAGAATAGTCTACCGAAATAAAAGATGCTGTTAACAGGAGTTATTGCTATTTGAAATATTCTTACAGAAAATAAACAAAGTTTGATGATGTCATCACAAGTTTTCATGATGTTTTAAATTCCAAGAATATTTATTACACTTTTTCTTTAATCATATATTACAGAAATTCACAGTTTTTAAACATATTCTGATGTGTTTTTGCCTGTTGTTCGTTGTTTCCAAGATGAAGAAAATTTGATTCCTCATTTATTACATTTCAAATTCTCTGTACAAAAAATAAATTGGTAAAAAAACAGAACTCAGTATTTTACAATTTTAGAAGAAAATTCCCCTTATTAGTCTGTAAATTTACTTTGTTTATAGTATTGATGAATATTAAAGTTGCTTACATTTAAAGATTTATGGTTTATGGCCAGTCAAGTTCACTGGACGGTGAAAGTGATTAGTGCTCCAGAGTACTGGCTTTCAGTAAATTTCAATAAAACAAGAGAAGAATAAAAAAAGCTTTGTGTCAATACAATCATTCAAAAATCATCTCTGTATTAAATCCAATTCAAATGAAAAAAATATTTATTTGAATGAAGTGTAAATTAATTAAAATACCAATATCTACACCATTTATATAAATACAGGTATGTTTTAAATTACTTGAGTGTCTCAAAAATTCTGGACAATCACAAGAGATAGATGACAAGGCAAATTACCATAGTGAGGAAACACTAAGCATTTACATCCATATGGTACTGTATGCTTAAAGTCTATTTCTGTATGTGGAACATTTGAGTGTTTACAAGTTTTATCATCATTTATTTATTATACCAACTCTGCAGTGAATACTTAGTAAATATGATGTTTTTAAAATTCTATTTAGATACTCATATGGGAGAAGAAAAAAGAAAAGGCAAAAAGGCAACAATATGCCTGTAACAGTATTAAAACAGTATATAACATTAAATGTCGGGATAAAGTATACAAAATGGGTGATAATTTATATTTTCTGACAATCAGTGTTCATAAAAGGATGCATTTTTTTTAGAAAGGTCCTTTCCAGTCTGACTAAAGTTCAGATCTACTTATTTCTTACATGTAGATCTGATTTCCCCCGTATTTGTTTAACCTTCATTAAGATTTGTATTTCCCAGGAAAGCAATGAAATCAAACTGTCCTTTACAAATAGGAATAAGACGAAGTATCAAAATATTGTTTTATGTTAAAGTTAACATATTGTTGATTTTTGATAGAAAAAAAAATTGTTGAAGTAATGTGAAATATACTGGAAATTTAAGACTAAATTTTTGATGGGCATTGTTGTTTTGCCATTTTACCTGCCTGCTATATGGACAACACCATGTTTGTTCCCTAGATTGTGAAAATGACCTATTCAGTAATGGTTTTCCAGCCATTAAAATTAGAAACCATATCGCTTTCAAAAGTGTGATGATTGGCTGTTTGAATGGTTATGAGAAGGTGACAAACTATTGATGATCATCAAATCCTGATGTGTAGTGTTAACTAGGAGCTGATTTTAATCATATTGGAGCCATTCTTATATTTGCATGCAATTCATGCGCAACAGTTTTCATTTTTTACAGTGAAACTAGATTGCCTCCTATTTTTGAAAGAAATTTATAATTTGTTTTGAAGTTGGGTAAGAAAAGGGAAGAAAAATTAGAAGAAACTCTTCTAGTATCTCTTCATTTCTGTGTTTAGTACCAGTACTCCTAGAGATTCTTATTATTCCAGTTCAAATAGCATGATTTAAGTTTTCAGGCCTGTACATAATTATATTTACAAAAGTATACTTTAGAATATTAGATAATCTAGAAAAACAATTTAATCAGAGTAATGAGCTTATGAATGTTGAATTTTTGAAATTTTAATTTTGAAAACGTCCAGAACTTTCACTGAATTTATATATCTTCATCAACCTTTATTAGTTACAGTAAAAAATTATTTTGTTTTTGAGGATTTATTTCTTAAAATTAGGATTCTTTATGCCAAAGCAGCACATTCATTTACATTATGACAATTAATCAATACTATACAATATTATGACAATTGATTACTACTTAAATGTATCTTCTAAAGTTCTAAAGAGTTTTTATAAATTGTGTGTTTTGTATTTAAATTCACTTTTAAAATGTCGGTTTCTGAGAAATTGTAAATTGTGATTGGCGAACTTTTTAAAATTTAGTGTTTTTCTGGTGCATAATAGCCATTTCTATTATGTTTCAACAGTGTCTATCGTTTATTGAACATATAAGCACAAGATATCGGTACATTATGTAAAAATAATAAAATGTCTCCTTTGACAAAATATTTCATAGTTAGTCTAGTATATTGGAAGATAAGATTATAAAATGAACACCCGATGCAATATTTTGACACAGTCACAAGTGAAAATATAACACTGCTGGTGTTCACAAATGAAATATTATTTGATCTTACATACAACATAAACAAATTTTGCATTTATTTCATATGTTTTTATTGGTTTTGAGGCACTTAAATTGTTTTCTGCGTATCATCATAAACATGTATATTACTTTTAATTTATCACATTATGTTTATATTCAAAAAGTAATTCTGTAGTATTTCATTAATTCTGTTTGATTTTTAACATATAAGCAAATAATTATGTAAGTGCTAAAAAAAATCTCACATATATCACATTATACTTATGACTAAGTGTATTTCTCACAATATTGCCATTTATTGCATGCTTTTCAGTGGACAGTGAAATTATAAAATGAATTATCACAGCAGCCAGACTATATCTGAATGTGGATGAAAAGAATATAGCTTTAATACATAGAAATTCCGTCAGAATAAACACCATTATTAGTAAAATGTGCCTGAACATGAGAAACACATAAATATCTATACAGTCATATCATTTCAAAAATGTAACAGGATTATTTTACAACAAGAACAATTTGACATCATGATTTTATGACACAATTGAGTCTGTGCATGTCGTTATTTGGCAAAAGGCAGGAAAAAAACATTAAAACCCATAAGAAAGCATGAAATAAATTGAAAATTTGTTTTCTTTTTTGTATGTTTGTAAAATTATAGTCACAGCTGAACAATGTGTCTATAAATTGAATTAATGATATTATAATATATCTTTTAAATTTGCAGGATGTCTAATGTGTAAGTAAAAGATTTTCTCAATAACATCAAGTATTTTTTACCAGTACCTATTTGAATAAATAATAATAAGAGGCTTAAAGCTTCATGCCTCCAAAATATTTCAATAAAACCAAACTTGGAACAAAATATTTTACTTTATAAGACATTTTCAAATTTTATGAAAATTAGCATGAATCTAGAGGCGTGCTGCTTTAAAGAATAGTAAAATTCCTATAATAGACTGGGTTAAAGCAGTTCTTTAATCGTGCATCAACAAGGATGCATTCACAACCAGCCCAAGCATGCATGCAATGCTTTCGAGCACAAATACCATATATTCATCATTTCATTATTTGTGTCATTGCAGTCAGTTATTTTACATGATGCCCTGAGTCATGCATATAAAAAAAAAACTTGCAACAAGGGCTCTGCCTCAACATGAGGTTTAATATAAAGAATCTGTAGATTTCACTTTTAAGAATTTGCATAAACACAAAAGATAAGACTAAAATGAATATTATTACCCTATTTTTGTGTTTGTATGAGGTTGCCATGAAACTTATACCTACTATATATTTTAGTAGGGTATAAATTACCAATAATTATGCAAATATGTAACAATATCAAATAATATGGTCTTAGAACAGCCCCTAACATTAATATCCCTTCAAAACATATTATTTAAGAAAACAAATTTACTTTCAAAAAGTAAACATATATTCTAACTTGATAGATAAAAGACATTCTTAACTTTCAAGTTATTGCAAAAGTAATCTATCTTAAGATAGAATAGTGTTGCACAAGATTTAGGAAACAAACATACATATATTATAGTGTTAAAGTATTCCTACTCAAGATAAAATAGTTTTGCACAATAAATTTTCAGGAAAATGTGGCTTTTCTAGTGCAATACAAGGCTATGTTAACATGTAGGCAATAAAATGCATATTTTACACTTTTCTTGAAAAAAAGAAGCATGTACATAACTTATTTCTATTTTTTGATAAGATTGGTTGTGAATTTTTTTTTTCAAAAAAGGAAATCACAATAAAATACTTTAGTTACATATCTTTTACATTTCCTGAAAACTTATCAAATTACAAGTTAGAATAGTCTAGCACCGAGCCCTCGATATATTCTATAGCATTACAAAGTAGATATGATAGTAAGAAAGATCTCAGGTTAAGTTTCTTTCTAGACCTATATACCTACAAACAAATACTAACAAATATTATGATTTTCAAATACAATCTATTTTTAATATATTTGTGTGATTTCTGTTGTTGTAATTAAGAAACACGTCATCATCTATTTCAAAAATGTACTATTGTTCATGACTTATGGTAAACACAAAAGATCACGTCATATTATAGCTCAATTATAAATCATTTATTAAAATCTATATATTGAAGTTTTACCTTCAAAATGTCCCTGAAAGTTTTTCCGTTTTCTTTTTCACGCTCTTTCACATCTTTAAGAAGTTTTCGAAAACGATTTTGTTTCCCATTATCAACCATTTTTTCAGATAAGTATTGTTTCACTTAATTTCCTGACGAATTTCTAGATATTACACTTGAACGTGTACATCAAAAGAAAGATAGATAGATGTATCCTCAAACGTTAGAACCTTCACTGCTAATAAAGTGTCACTACAAAAATATTTCTATGAAAAAAGTCTTATTTTTAGTTTATTTATTGTTGTTTTTTTGTAAAGTGTCAAAATAAGAAAAAAATATTTTATTTATCTCCATTTGATCAACAAAGTTAAGGTTACAATAAGTTGGCGATTGGCTTTATTCTATTTTATGAAATAACACTAAGCGGGCAGTAATTACAATTTAATTTTCAACGCAAAGTTAAAAAACAAAACATCAATAGTTTCAGTAACACAGTCCTTTTTGTGACAGTCCGAATGTGAATGCATCTAAAATAGAACAGATTTTAATATTAAAACATATATATCTCCTTTCGTAATTAAGTTTCGTGTGTTTTGATATTTTAAACTACACACGCTTCATCGCTAGCTATTGTAATAGTGTACTGTGGGATAACTAGGATCAGGTGAATGCTGTAGTTATGACTGTAATAACGCACGCCCCCTAGTAACAGCTGAAATGCTTATTAATATTTATACAAGTAAAATGGTTTCCTGCGGTGAACATTTTAATGATATAAAGATATTTCATTTAACTATTTTCAACATTATTTTTTTTTGGGGGGGGGGGATAAATAAACATTTGTATCAAGAATATAGTTGACAATTGAATAAACGATCAATATAGAAGAAGCTAGGTCTTTGGAAACTGATGACCGTTGAAGACCGGAGAAAGTCGAACATAAAACAATTATTTCTTTTTAAGAAAATGATTAAATAGGCCTACCATTTTATGAATAATTCCGAGCAAAAAAAATAAATAAAGTAAACACACAAGTTTACGCAGAAAATATCTTTATTTATTATGGCAGATGCCACTACAAATATTTTAACTTTGTAGATTTTCAGTGTAAACAATTTAAATTGTAAAATTTGAGATAGATATTAAAGAAACATTGATAATTTTCAAACCCATCATTCAAGTTTTTCCACCTTAAACGGTAAAGTAATTATAGAAAATTAGAAAAATCACGAAATAGTTTTTGTTCTTAATTAGGGGTAATTTGGACTAATTCCTTACAGGTAAATCTCTCTAACGTAACGGCAAACGGTATTTAGCTAGGATTTCGAAAAGGTCAATTAACCAATCATGTACGGTTTACAGATCACATGCTCCTCCATGTACCGAAAACAGGTCACGTGCTTCTCCATGCCTCAAAAGTTAAACGCGTACCAATACCCTGCGGTCTCCAGACCGCAGGGAATGATATCGTATGGTTTGGAACCTTTACTATGTTCTTACTAACCCATTATACACTTTAGTGAGCATTTGAAAACTGTATTGATACATATATATATTTATAGCAGTGCAGTTTTTTTTTCATTGATTCATATATAGAAAAAAAACAATTGATATATAACGGTTTAGTTTAATTTGCACCTGCTATATATCGGTTGAGTTTTTTTTTAACAGAGTCTCCAATGGGGCATCGGTAACGAACATTCCGACATTCCGAAGAATAAAAACAAAGATAATAAAGGAAATAAAATTTATTCTCATATATAAAACTGCTAAAAACTGCTAAAATCCGCTAAACTTGAAAAGCCCTTAAATCTTGAATCAATATTACTTTCTCTACAAGGTATAAGTTTACAATCCGTCTCTAACATTTGGCGTCCTGAAATTTTCAAGGATTGCATATCTTGAAACTGTTTTATTCTTTTTCTTCGGTAGCGAAAACACATTCAAGAAATGTCCTATTATAAATAGCTGTAAGGTTTTTTTGATGATTTCTTTAACAAAACAAATTGATGAAATTGCGATACAACAGTTATAATTCACGAAACTCGAAAGTAACGGGGATATAACAGTGGTTGAGACGACATCTCGGGATGTTTCTGCAAAAACGACCTCGACATATTTTTTTATTTGCAGAAACATCCCTTGATGTTGCCCCAGCCAGTGTTATATCCTGGTAACTAACTGGTTTCATATACTTAACTATAACAAAATATTCCGCTTTTTGAGCTGAAATTCAGAAGAAAAAACTGAAACTGAACACAGCAAACGAGCCAACAAAAGGACGATTACAATATGAACAACATAATAAATTAAATATTAGATTTATATATTTTTAGATAACTTATTTTAAAGAATTTGAAACGTTCATTGTTGCAAAACTAAGACTAAGTTGAATTATCTTTTCTCTATAAAGAAATATTTTTAAAAAGAATAAAGACAGTGTACATGGTTTAACAATGATGCACGTGGAGTTATTATTCTGGTTACAATATTAAAACAGACAATCCCCGGATCAGTCTATGCTAAATAATAAATGTTGTTATGTAAGTGAAATTGAGAAGCCTTAACAGATGATTCAATGGAGGTAATTAACTATATAGATGAATGAATGAAATAATGTTACAGGCTTGTTGTGTAAATGATATATTTAATTTTTAAACTTTTACAAGCATTGCTGCCAGTGATTAATGTTTGAAATATGATCACCGCAATAAAAACCTTATGAAGTTAGATTTTTGTTACAATCTAATAGTGTAGATGTTTTTTTTTTAGAATTTAATAGAACATGTAATACAGTTGCATTTGGCATAATATAGATACTATGTTTCACCTGTATTTGACTGCAAACTAACACATCTTTATTTGACTAAAACTGACATAAAACGTGTACTATACCAATATCTGAATGGAAACTGATACATTATATTGCATCTGACTACAAACTGACAATATATTGTATCAGCATAGAAATGTGAAAGTTTATCTTGTTATACAGATAATTATCTGATACTTTAGGTTACAAATACAAATAAAAATATAGATAAACAGATAATTATCTACTATTTAACTGGAAAGTGTTGGCAGTTCTATACGGAATACCGATAGGGCCGTCGTGGTACTTTATAATCCTGAGGGGGACAATGCGACAGTGCGATGACGACAATACGACAGTGCGATGACGACAAAGCGATAATGCGATTGTGACAATACGATAGTTGTCAATGCACTGTAGTATTGTCGTCATCGCACTTTCGCACTGTCACCCTCTGGATTATAAAGTTAAATCACGATGGCCCTAACGGTATTCCGTAGTTCTTGGCACTTTTTTGGAATTTGATACTTATTCGTTATTTATATAGCTGACAAAAAAGATATCTAGTTATATCTAGTCTCATATATATCTGTTATTTATCGTGTTACCACGAACACTAACTAGTTAATCAGATAGTAACGGGATATTTATATGGTTAACAGTTGGCAGAAAAATGCCACCATACCGTTCAGTTTTTGATAATAAAAATAAACAACATACCATTTCTTTCTTTGGATCAGTCGCACTTCGTTGCATCTTTACGGCTATTTCCGACAAGGGTTTTAATAGATGATGGACGATGTGTTTGCAACTTGGTTAAAATGATCACTTAACCTTCTGAAACGGAGAGTGATTATTCTATGCCACCAGTATAGAGCCAGGCATGCATGTAAATCCGTGTAGACTTACTGGGTTTTTACTGTTGGAAGTAGTATTTCGATATAAAGATCACATAAACTTTGAATGGATCGTTCTCAATTCCAATGCTGGACAAACCAATTACACAAATTCAACATGGTAACGGTTATAGTCAGTTGAAAAAAGAAAATAAAGGGTCTGAACCATTATTCTCATTCAACGTACAAAGTCTAAATTAGGTTAAGAGTATGGTCAGTAGTAAAATATAAATAAAAACGCCTTTGAACTGAATATACAAGAGGGAAAACCATGTTTAAGTTAATCCTTCGATATAAAACATTCTCCTAGAAAGAAATAGAGCAAAATAAACGGTTATACATGGAACCATTTGCCATGTTAACAAATACCTCTATTTTCAATTTCCGATCTGTACAATTTATGTTAGACTTTCCAAGCAAGCGTTGATTAAGAGGTGTTTAAAATACATGTATCTACTTCTCAAACTGACATAATTGATTCGAGACCTACCGGGGGCACAGCAGTGTTTTAACGTTGTAGTAAATATTATCAGCATATATCGCGGCTAATTTATATCTCAAACTTATACAAACTATTTTTTCCTACATAAAGTCCTTAAAATTCCTTAAATGTCCAATTTATGTTTCAGTTGTGTTATTTTACGTACGAATGGACACATATCCATACAGTATATACATTAATTAATAACGATTTTGTATTTAAATAAGGTGCAAAAAGAGACGTGTGTAATATTTCGTAATTACGAATTAATATTTCGTAAATCGATATAATATTTCGTAATTACGAATTAATATTTCGTAAAAACGAATTAATGTTTCGTAAAAACGAATTAATATTTCGTAATAACGAATAAATATTTCGTAATTACGAAATAACATTTCGTAATTACGAATAAATATTTCATAAAAACGAATTAATATTACGTAAAACAAATTAATATTTCGTAATTACGAATTAATATTTCGTTAAAATGAGTTATTATTTCGTAATTACGAATTATTATTTTGTAAAAACGAATTAAGTTCCGGGGGAAAAGTGTGGAAAATGTCACCTTAGGGGCTCTGTACATACATAAATTGTAAGGAAAGATATTTTTAGTTGATTAGATTAGAGAAAGTCTGGAGCCCAACTCGCCCTTTAGTTTTACTAATGTATATGATAATAGATAGAAATAATATAGCATGTTTCTTTTTTAAAGAAACATGTCAGAAAAGTTAATTGCCTCAAAAATTTAAACATTGCTGATAGTAACATGTATTTGACACTGGGGAACAAGAGGCCATTGTGGATAGAGAATGGCTTCTCACTCAAAAAACCTGTTCACTTAAATATAATAACTTGATAACCATTCGGCATATCGAGAGGTTGATCCAGGCTTGAAAATGACCCCTTTATGAGATTAGTAGGTTCTTTGTCAAGCTCAAAATGATCTTAAATAAGATTTCGTAAAAACGAAATAAATATTTCGTAATTACAAATTATTTTTTCGTAAAAACGAATTAATATTTCGTAATAATTATTACAAAATAGTATTTCGTAAAAACTAATTAATATTTCGTAATTGCGAAATAGTATTTCGTAAAACGAATTAATATTTCGTAAAAACGAATTATTATTTCGTATAAACGAATTAATTTTTAGTAATAACGAATTATTATTTCGTATAAACGAATTAATATTTAGTAATAACGAATTAATATTTCGTAAAAACGAATTAATTGCCGGGAAAAAAGTGTCGAAAATGTCACCTTAGTGAGTGCTTTTTAACAACAGTGTTTCGTTTTTAAAAAAAGAGAAAGAGAGAAGTTTGTTTCTCTACTGAATAATTGCTTACATCTATCCAGGAGTTGGCCTAAAACATGAACAATGCCATTAAATTAGAATATAAACT